GGTTAAAAGGGAGTTAAGATGTTGATTGGGGTGATTGATCTGGACTACTAAGGGGAAATTGGATTGCTACTCCACAATGGAGGTAAGGAAGTGTATGTTTGGAATACAAGAGCTCCTTAGGGTAGCCTCTTAGTATTATGTCCTGTGATTAAGGTCAATAAGAAATTGACCTTAATCCAACCCAATCCAACAACAATCCAATCAAGACAGGACTATGAATGGTCCAGACCCTTCAGGAAGGGAAGTTTGGGTCACCCCACAGGGAAAGATGTCATCCATAGCTAGTATTTATTACTACCTTCTTCTACTACCCATTCTTTATTCTCTTTAACTTACCAGGAGGGCAAAGAAAATAAAGAATGGATAGTAATAAATATCAGCTATGACCACATGATCAGTTACAGAAACGAGAACCGTAATTGTTGTAAGCATTTCCTCCCTATTTTGTTAAGAATATGTTTGTGCATTTCTATAATATATATACACACACACATATATTTTTATATATGCATATATTAAACAAATATTTTTATTTTCCTTCCTCTGTTATTTCTTTATCATGTAACCTAAGATTGATCAAACTTTGGATCAGTATTTAAGTATTATTAATATTGCATCATAGGATGTAAGCTATGGGATGTTAAGTTATCAGAAAAGGAGTAAACCTCACTGAAGAACTTTACTTCCTCTATCTTAGGACAGGATAAGTGCATTTTTGGTAGTGTGCAGAGTAGTTGTATCATGTTAGGCAGAATTATGACCTTGTTGTTGGCTTTATTTAGAAATTGTTTGGTCTAAGGAGATGCATGTGGATGCCAAACTGACCAGCAGTGGATTTGTGATGATTAATATTAGGTGTCAGATTGACTGGATGGAGGGATGCCTAGACAACTGGTGAAGTATTCTTTCTGGGTGTGTCTGTGAAGGTGTTTTCGGAGGAGGTTGATGTATGAGTCAGTGGGCTGAGAGAGGAAGACCCATCCTCAATGTGGGTGGTCAATATCCAAACAGTTGGGAGCCCAACTGGGACAAAGCAGGTGGAAGAAGGACACTCAGCTCACCTTTGCTTCATCTCTTTCTTCTTCCCTGGGAAGCCTTCTTCTCCTCCTGCAGACTCTAGGGTCTTTGGCTTTTGGACTCTGGGACTTGCACCAGTGGCATCCTGAGTACTGTAAGGCCTTCAGTCTCAGACTGGGAGTTGCAATGATGGCTTTCCTCAGCTGAAGCATTTGGACTTGGACTGAGCTACATTACTGCCTTCTCTGGTTCTCCAGCTTGCAGACAGCCTGTCGTGGGACTTCACCTTTGTGATTGTATGAGCCAATTTTTCTCCAATAAATTCCCTTTCATATACATATTCTATTGATTCTGGTCCTCTAGAGAACCCTAATATATATACATATGTATATATGTTTATTTATACAGCAATTATACTATATATAGTATTATATATAGTGTTTTTTAAAAATAAGCAAATATATATACACTTGTTTATTTTGTCCACACTCATATACAAAATGTAGTGTACTTTATATATTATTCCGCATCTTGCTATTTTTTTTATAAAAAAATTTTATTATATATCTTGATCTCTCCATGTGAGAACACAGGCTTTTCTTATTCATTTTCATAGCTTGTATCACATTTTGCCATGTGGAATTACCATGTTTTATCCAACCAGACCCCTGTATCTGGACACATAGATTTTTCTCATTCTTTTGCCGTTATTAAATGCCACAATGGATATGTTTATATATATGTATCTTTTTGTACTTGTGCAGGTATATCTGTAGAATAGATTTCTAGAAATGGTATTGCTCAGTAATAAATATAACTGAGATCTTAAAAGATATTATCAGATTTTGCTCACTAGGTTTCAGTTTTAATTTCCGCAAGTGAAGTATAAGAGGGCCTGTTTCCCACAGCCTCACCCACAAAAGATGTCTTTTTTTGAATTTATGCCCATATATTACTTGAGAAATAGTATCTCAGTGTAGGTTTATTTATTCTATTATTGTAAATTAAGTTTAGCAGCTTTTCATATACTTGGGACTGTATTATTATTATTATTTGTTTCTGTGAGTAGTCTGCTCACATCATTGTCATTTTTTACACTGGCTTGTTCTTCTCCATTCATAGGACCTTTTTGTGTTTTATTGAGAAATTAATATTTTGTTTGTGTTATAAACAAAAAAGTGCTTTTTTCCTAGTTTATTTGCTCTTTATTTCACTAACATTTTTATCCATATAAAAGATACAGAATTTGGTACAAAGTAATCAATGTTTCCTTCTTGGACTTTAGGCTTTAGGGTTACATTTGCAAAGGACTTCCTTATTCTAGGGATATAAAGGAATTCATTTGTGTTTCTTCCTAGTACTTAAGTTTGGAAAATTTATAATTTTAATCAATTTGGTGTTTTTCTTTCCCCAAAAGACTCTCAATTTTTGTCCAAGAAAATTTATTAAAATGCCCCATATTACCTCTCAAGTTATTATTGTATTAGGGTTCTCTAGAGGGACAGAACTAATAGGATAGGTGTGTATGTGAAGGGAAGTTTATTAAGGAGTATTGACTCATACGATCAAAAGGTGAAGTCCCACAATAGGCCGTATGCAAGCTGAGGAGCAAGGAAGCCACTTCAAGTCTCCAAACCTCAAAACTAGGGTAGCTCACAGTCTGTGGCTGAAGGCCTGAGAGCCCTGACAAACCACTGGTGTAAGTCCAAGAGCTCAAAAACTGAAGAACTTGGAGTCTGATGTTCTAGGGCAGGAAGCATCCAGCATGGCAGAAAGATGAAGGCTGGAAAACTCAGCAAGTTACCACTCAGTAAATAACCACCACAAGTATGTACTGACATTCTGTATACATCTGGGTTTATTTATGCACTTTTATGGATTCCATCCTGTTATTTTTTGGTAGTAGTTGTAATACGTGGGAATATTTTACTTTAATTGTCACATATTATTAATATCTTTATGTGATACCCTGACTTTCCTCTTCCTTAAGGCAGTTTTATTGGTTTCCTACCATGAGAAATGAAATTAACCTGTAGCATCTTCTTCCTTTTACTATCTCTTTCTCCACCATCCAGTGTTACTCCACAATGTCATATTTCTTAACGTTTATTTTGTTTGCTTACATATACTTAAGTTTTTACTACTTGATTTGTCAGCTTTAAGTGGTGTCTTGTCTCTCAGCTTTTATCAATAAGGCAGTCAGTGAATTTATTCTACTTTCTATTATTTTTCCCGTTCTCCTTGGAAACTAAGCAGTTTACTGGGGAGTAATGCATATGAAAATAGGGGGATGAAGGAGAAGTGGCAGGGAAAGTTTTCATATTATGATGCAGATCAGGTTACTCGTGAGAGGAAAGAGAGGAAGAAAGCAAGATTAGGAGGGAAAGCCTCAGTCCATGATGTAGATATGATAAAGCCTTGGCGCAAAGGGAAGATCTAAAGCAAAGACTGCCTGTTGCAGGAGTTCTATTTTGGACAGAAATGGCCAGATTCCAGTACTCCTGCAGTGATCAGTCCTGGGCTGGTCTATACAGAGCTACCAAAATGAACCTAGATGGACGGAGTAAAGTGAGGGAGATGGGGTCTTTAATTGTCAGACCCAGAAGCATAGGGCAAACACATAATTTGGGTTGGAAACACATATTAAGAAGTAAGATTAAGTTAATTTAAGTAAATTAATCACTTTGTTTGAAAAAGAAAATTAATGTTTAGAGATAGAGTGTCCTCCCCAAGTCACTTGGCTGATTAGTGGCAGAGTTAACAAAAATGTAAATCTTCATTTACGTCTCTTTTCACCAGTCTCAGAGTCTAAGAAAGGCAAGAAACTTCCAGATACACACAATGAATATAAATTGCCATTTGAAATCTTTATTAGTTAGCAAAAAAATCTAACATAATCATCAGAGTTTTAAGTAGCAGTGACAGAAGATAAAAATGCCTCCATATCCCAAATGAACATCTCCGTATGCCAAGTAGCTAATTTTTATTCTTTTACAACTAAAGTCAGGGTTTTTATTTTCAGAGACAATTCTGCAAACTTGACGTTAAAGTAATAGTTTGGCGTGGTTTAAAATACATTCAAATGTATACTAAATGTTTTAGAAAATATTCCATTGTTGAATACATTTCACATGGAATTTATGTGAATTAATTGATAGTGAAATATTATGAGCACCATGTGAACATACAAAAATGTATTCTTGTTGTTCACAGAGGCTAGAATCAAGTACATTGGATCGAAATTAACTTAGACACAATGCAGTACATGTCAACTTTGCAGTTTAAACAATTACATATACTAAATACCTGATGTAAATGACGAGTTGATGGGTGCTGACGAGTTGATGGGTGCAGCACACCAACATGGCACATGTATACATATGTAACAAACCTGCACGTTATGCACATGTACCCTAGAACTCAAAGTATAATAATAAAAAAAAAAAAAAAAGAAAAAGAAAAACAGTGCCAGTCTTGGTTCATGCTTGGCTGCCAGACTTTATTGTCATTCACTTCTAATCCTCACTTCAAATCAAATTTCCCCTTTCTTGGCTCACACTTTGTGAAATAAAATTTTATTTAAAATTAAAGATAATTATCTAAAGGGTTTTGTCATTAATCAACAATACGACGACAGGTCTATCGATATATTTAGATTAAAGTTTCCATCTACAGATATTAGATGCTTTTGTTCATCTGGAGAGATCCAATTTTACCCCCTTATGTTTATAGGATTAGATGGGTGGGATTTTGATGGGGGTACAAGGTAGTGATTTTGTAGTTTCCAACATTTAGGGAAAAGTAAATGGTTGATGGCCCATATAATATTCTCTCTTTATCTAAAGACTTTCTCTGCCCTCAGCGGGCTATCTCTGTAGGTTCCAAAAAGTGATTTTTGAACCTCAGACCTGCACCTGGCTTGTGGGATAGAGGCATTTTGTCTTGTTAATAGGTCTTGTGGTGGTGAATAATTAGATTGAAAGATTAGTCATAGTGCTTTAAATCTGAATAATATAATTTCATGTTGGGATTGGTGCTAAAAGTAAAGATGGTAGTTCTGCACTCATAAATCACATCTTATAAATGACAGGACACTTTACAACATATACTATTGCTCCACCATGTCTTCAATAACTCTGTTTAGTAGATTCTTTATATATAAAAGAAATCGAGAAATTTTATTTTGGGTGGGAGCTGAAGTTGGTTGTTTAGTAGTAGTAGTAGTTTGAGTAGTGACTGAAATAGTGGTTTGGTGTGTGGGTGCAGCTGGAGTTTCAGAAGTGTCAGGTGCAAGAGTAGCTGGGGAAGAATTAGGTGTGGTGATTGGGGCACCTGTGGTCTCCAGTGGAGCTGAGGAAGGTGGTGGAGCTGGTGTAGTTGCAGAAGGTGTGGGTAGGGCAGCTGTGGTCTCTGGTAGAGCTGAGGAAGGTGGTGGAGCTGGTGTAGTTGCAGAAGGTGTGGTGATTGGGGCAGCTGTGGTCTCCAGTGGAGCTGAGGAAGGTGGTAGAACTGCTGTAGTTGCAGGAGGTGTGGTTAGGGCAGCTGTGGTCTCCAGTGGAGCTGAGGAAGGTGGTAGAACTGCTGTAGTTGCAGAAGGTGTGGGTGGGGGAGTTGTGGTCTCCAGTGGAGCTGAGGAAGGTGGTGGAGCTGCTGTAGTTGCAGAAGGTGTGGGTGGGGCAGCTGTGGTCTCCGGTGGAGCTGAGGAAGGTGGTAGAACTGCTGTAGTTGCAGAAGGTGTGGGTAGGACAGCTGTGGTCTCCAGTGGAGCTGAGGAAGCTGGTAGAACTGCTGTAGTTGCAGAAGGTGTGGGTAGGGGAGCTGTGGTCTCCGGTGGAGCTGAGGAAGGTGGTAGAACTGCTGTAGTTGCAGAAGGTGTGGGTGGGGGAGTTGTGGTCTCCAGTGGAGCTGAGGAAGGTGGTAGAACTGCTGTAGTTGCAGAAGGTGTGGGTGGGGGAGTTGTGGTTTCCAGTGGAGCTGAGGAAGGTGGTAGAAGTGCTGTAGTTGCAGAAGGTGTGGGTGGGGGAGCTGTGGTGTCTTGTGGAGCTGGGGAATTCGGTGATGTTAATGTAGCTACAGAAGAGCCTGTGTTAACATTTTCTCTTGAAGATGTGGTGGTGGCTTTCTGAGGAAGAGAAGTCACATTTGGAAGGGTAGTAATTTTGGTGGAAGCAGATGGGGAAGTCACAGATGGAATTTGGGTTGTAGTCACTAAGGTAGGGTTGACCACACTGCTAGTATCTGGATGTTTAGATGGCTGGGGAGGATTTGGGAATTTGTGGGGGTTATGAACTGAAGGTGGAGGCCTAGGCCTACAGCGTTTGTATGGACATTTATGGGGCTTTATAATGAATGGCTTCTGGTGAGTTGGTAGTCCAGGATGATGTGGTAATTCAAAGTGAGGTTTGGGTAAATGGTGATGATGCCTTCTGTGACGTAGTTCGTGAGCCCTTTCTCGACCTTCACTGAACTGCAGAAAAGAAAGAAAATGTAAGAAATGAAAAAAGTATCCATTTATTTATCAATCAGGTGATCACTGCTGACCATGAGATGAGCAGTATTTGTGGAGTGCTGGGATTAGAAACCAGAGTACATTATTGAGTCAAGTGATTATCTTCCTAATTTCACCTGATTTTCACTAAGTTTCAAGAAAGAATTGCTGCTATTTTTGTCAAATGTCTACTCTCTAGATAGCTGGGATGAATATATTCCTGTGGGCTCTAGCCTGAATGCTTAGCTGGATATGAACTTTTGTGCTTCCATTTTCTCTCTTCTTCCTCTGGTGGAAAATGATCAAGTTACTGCCTGAGGTCCCAGCACAAAGGCTTCCTGCTTACTCAGCATGTTCACAAAACTTTAGTCAAAGACATTCAACTGAGATCCAAGAGCCCTTTCTGGATTACACCCCTTATATCTACCATCATCAAAACACGAAACAGTCAAACAACAACAAAGCCCCAACAAACAAAATATCCCACCCCAGCTTCATGTTCTCCATATTTCAGGAAACAGTTTTTAGCCTTTATAAATTGGAGAAACAACTTTGGTCATTACCTTTTAACTTCATTGTTTAAAAAATTAGAATTATAGAATTCATGATTCAGGGGGTTCATGAATCATCTGATTTTTAGAGAAAATTTGCATGTTTATGCATTTTGTCTGGATACAGCACCAATGATTTTCATGATTTCTGAAAGGTGTTTACGTCTGAAAAGAACACTGATCTAGTCCAGCTGTACATCTGATACTTGATCTTTTATCAATACACCTGCTGAAAGGCTTTCCAGTCTATGCATCTAACCTTTTCTGATTAAGAACTCACTACAGTAATTCCTAAGGCAACCTGATAGAGAGTTCTTGATACTGAATGTAGGTTTGTTTTCTGGGATTTTTATTGTTAACTGAGTAGAATTTTCTTCATGAAGATTTCCATTCTTTGGTCCTAATTTTATGTTTTGGCAGGTTTACCGAAAATCCAGGAGTCCTTCAAAATTTGGAAAATAACTTCTGTGCCATGTAGGTCATCATTTTGCAAGATGAATATCTTTATTTCCTTTAGGCGTTGCTGACATTGTTTGAGTTAGAGTACCATCACTGTTTCAGTTTATTATCTGTAAACATACTTCATGCCTTTTATATCCCTCTTCCCTGTATTCAATCTCATACTACATTTTTTAGTGATCGGTTATATTAAATTGGAGAAAAGAAATACTAATAGGGTAAATGAGACCATCCCAAACCAGGATAGGTTATATTTTCTTCCTAATGATTTTCACAGAAGCCCTTTTTAGATCACCAAATGGGTACATCATTCCAGTCCCAAGTTATAAAGCTTTCTTTGGACACAAAGTTTAGTGCAGATGATGTGATAACCTCTGAGAGACTAGCCGAGTTGTGTAAGATAAGATAACTTCCTCAGACTAATATATCCAGCCTCAAAAGTAGCTTCTAGGTATTCGGTTTTCAGAGATGAATGAAACAGGGACCCTTGTGACCTCGTGAGGCTCATGTGATTAAGGGAAGGAACCACATAACTATTTCAAAGCAAAGAGGTCATAGAATTAGACTTTGGATCTGGAATTTAATCTAAATCATTTCATAAATGAATAAACTGAGATCCAGGCATATTAAGTAACTTGCCCAAAGTCACTTGGTTATTCAATGGCAGATACAGGACAGATTCAAACCTCCACTGCTGGTCTGTTGCAGTGTGTTTCAAACATGTTCCTCTAAGATCTGGACATTCTCCGCAACATCCATCAATACAAGAAAGGATTATTTGTTTAGAAAATTAAATTATCCAGGAAATTTTAATTCATAACTGGGAACAGCCATTAGTTAACATAATGGCTTCTGATACTCATAACTTTGATATTTTTCCATAGGTCTCTCTTAAAAGGGCATAGGTTTTCAGAATCGGTAACACTGACTCCAGGAATCTCTGAGGAGATCCTTTCCATTACAGGGGTACTTGTTTTCTCATATAAAATAAACAGGTCATGTTGTTCAAACAGATCTTTCCCTGGAGATTGAATATGCAATCCACATAATTAGGGACCTGCTCTGATTGAAGCAGGATTGAGGGCCTCACATTCCATGATCTCAGTCTTTCCCTTTCCAGATGGTCTCTGAGGATGTTGCAAAGAATGTCCAGATCTTATAGGAACATGTAAGAAACACGCTGCAACAGACCAGCAGTGGAGGTTTGGCTGTGTCCTGTGTCTGCCACTGAATAGCTGAGTGACTTTGGGCAAGTCACTTAATGTGCTTATTCATTTATAAAATGATTTGGATTAAATTAACTTCCAGATCCAAAGTCTAATTCTATTTGCTTTGAAATAGTTATATGGTTCATTCCCTTAATCACCTGAGCCTCACGAAGGCCCCTCTTTCATTCACCTCTGTAAGTCCAGTACCTAAAACTATGCCTGGCCTATGGCAGGTACTCATTAGCTATTAATTGAATGAGTAAATGCATAAAAATGAAAACAATAGCTAATTTCTTATTGAATAAAATAGTAACATTTAAAAGTGTTTATTCATATGTAAAATAGTTTCAGCTATTTTACTTTAGGTGACCAAAATAGTACCTACCACATTTTTACATGAAGGCAAATTAATTAAAATCCTATTAATTTTAACATTAGCATGGCCTGGAACATGTATCAAATGACCAGTTTGTTTGATTTACTTAATATGTTGATTAGTTATTATGATTGGCAATTACAGGGGGTTATAACAGAACTTGTCAACTAGAGTTGGATTTAGAGAAGTCTGAGAGAGGAAGGAAATGTATGCCTCTAAAGTTTTGAGTTTAGATGATTGAAGTATGGAGGTCCTTAAAATAAATATAGATATGCCAGGGAGAGTGTATTAAAGATAGCAACCCTGCCTGCCTGTTCACATTCACTATTTATTTTTATTAAAAATGTCTTTATATAACACTTACTTTATGTTAGGCCCTATTCTGAGTGGTTTACAAATACAAATTTATTTAATTTCTTAGCAATATTATAAGGTGGGTATGGTTATTATCTTCATTATATGGAAGGGAAAACTGAGTCTTAGACTAAGTAACTTTTAGGAGACTTTCTCTATTTGCAAACTGCACTTTTGAGAGGAGAGAAGAGGGAGAAGACATGAGGAACAAGGAGAGAGTAGGCTGGAATCAAGGGAAGGAGAAGGAGAGACACATGACACTTGGAGAAAAAAAACAGGGTGTGAAAAAGACTCTTAAAATAACTAGAGGAATGCCAAATTCTCTGAGGAAGGAAGAGGAGGAGAAAATTAGAAAGGAAGAGAACTAGAAGAGAGCAAGGTCAAGATTAGATTTTAAATTTTTTTATTTTGAGATGGATTCTCGCTCTGTCATCCAGTTGGAGTGCAGTGGTATGATATCAGCTCACTACAACCTCAGTCTCCTGTGTTCAAGGGATTCTCCTGCCTCAGCCTCCCTAGAAGTTGTAATTACAGGTGTGCGCTCCACGCCTGGCTAATTTTTGTATTTTTAGTAGAGATGGGGGTTTCACCAGGTTGGGCCAAGTCTCGAACTCCTGACCTCAGGTGATCTTCCCGCCTCGGCCTCCAAAAGTGCTGGGATTACAGGTGTGAGCCACAGCACCCAGCCCAAGATTACATTTAATTGAAATTAGAAAGCACATTACATTTCTTCATTTGCTACCAGCTTATTTTTATGACCATTTGAAAATCTGTGATCCTTTTTTAAAGAGAATGAAAGCATTATATTAAATAATGCTATAGTTAACAGAGCTCTTCATCTGACTCCAGAATACATCCCTTCAAATCTTCCTTTGGGATATCTGGAAGAGAGAAACCAGACTATCCACTCCCTGAAATCACTCCACAAAAGCAGGTTGTTGCTAGAGCTCCAGGGCTGACCTTTTCTGGCTGTAGGTTGATGCTACTCTCTGGTACATTCCTGTATTTTCTTTTCTTTTTATTCTTTTTGAAACGGAATCTCACTCTGTCACCCAGGCTGAAGTGCGGTGGCACCATCTTGGCTCACAGAAACCTCCCCCTCCCAAGTTCAAGTGATTCTCCTGTCTCAGCCTCCCGAGTAGCTGGGATTACAGGTGTGTGCCACCACGCCCAGCTAATTTTTGTAGTTTTAGTAGAGACGAGGTTTCACCATGTTGGCCAGGCTGGTCTTGAACTCCTGACCTCACATTCCTGTATTTTCTAAGGATCAGGTCAAGGTATTTCTGTGCTACCTTCTCATATTCAAGTTCTTTGGAAACTGTTTCTCTCACCAGACACTTTTTTGAGATTTGGGCAGTTTGAAGAGTTTTCTTTATTCTAAGCACTTGGAAGAAAGGATTCTTTAGGTGTCTGGATTTGTGGGAGTTATGATGAAAGGCCACCTCAAAAGAACAACCCAGATTCATCATTTCACAATAACATAATTATTTATGTTGAATGGAAAGTTATTTCTTTCAATATAGAGTTGTTGGTAGCCAGGGATTCCTTATTAAAATTTTACTTATTAAAAAGTTAACATTACCGTGCATATTCAGAATTTAAAGCCTTATCAACTAGTATGTAAATTGAGATGACAATAATCTTGTTATAATTTTTACATCTACACTATATTTTATAATTTATAAGTTCTCATTTACCCTTCAGCAGCCCTGTGAAGCATATAGGGTTATTTTATACATAGGGAAATTGGGGTCCTATAAATAGATTCTAAATTGCTCAAGATTCATCTGGATGGTAAACATCAGAGATGAGTTTAAGCCACATCTTCTGAGCCCAACTTAAGCACTCTTCTACAGTCACACAAATCAGCATTAGGGTCTAGGGAAAAAGCCTGATTGTTTTCTGAGGGATTTTATATGGTAAGTGAGAAATATGAGAATATCCAAGAGTAAGTTCCATCCATTTCATCAGTTCTTCTGCCCTCTCTCTCTACTCTACTGGCATAATATTCTGAGGCTATCCATCCTCATCCAATAAAAGTACATTCTACTTCTT